TTTATGAAGGACTGAATTGCCTATAGCAGTAGCCTAAAATTTAGATTCTCAACTGCTTGATTGTTAATATCACATATGTAACTATATTATCACCCAGCTCTTTATATAAAGTCGGATACAAGTATGTCCAACTTGATCCATATACATACAATATAATCACATAGGGGGGTATAAACAGTATAGCAAATCTCAACTGCTTGATTGCTTGTATCGTTGCATAATGTAAAATATATTATTGGCCTGCTCTAATCTGCTAAATGGCACTATAAGGCATGAAGATATTAAGAAAAAAAAATTCTGTAACGCTGCTTTGGAGCAATGTATATTGTGAAAAATACTCTACAAATAAATTACAATGCCTAAATGGTTATTTGACTATTTGATATAAATGTTAACTAATCATTATATCCCATTCAAGGTGACGTGAGCCAAAGAAAAAATTTATTCAAGTCAGAGCAAATTATTAGATTTAAGTAGAGATGCACCGATCGATCGGCCAGGGATTATCCAGTTAAACACAGTCAGTTTTGGAACGTTAAATAGTTAAGAAAGAGAACGCATGTTGTGTAACAGTATATTGGGTCCATGGATAAACTCTTAAAGGAACCGCAGTCCAATATTCCTGCTGCTGTCTGTCATGTTAAAGGAGTCATATGATGCAGCTAAAAAGAACAGTATTTGGTGTAATGAAATGTGTTTATGCGGTTTACTGGATGTGTTATTTCACATTTGATTACTTTAATTTCTGTAGTATTTGCTATTTTTTTATGTTCTTATTTTATTACTGACTTTTTACTTGTTTTTTTTAAGAAAATAAAACTTTGCATTGAATAGAAGTAGATTTTTGTTTGTATATGCTGTCAATTATAGTTCTTAGAAGTCACGTCACAAGTGTCTTTCTAAAGCTAATTTTAATCATGTTACATTTGTGAAGTCAAAAACCGAATATTAATGTTTTGCTTAATACACATAAAAAGCATTGGTTGCACAGCAAAATTTGGGGGCCAACAGGAGGCAAAACACTCTGAAACATTTGTGTGGTTTTCCACAGCACTGCAAGAGAATCTGGACAAAACACTTATTAAAATGTGAATGTTTCTTTCCATAAACAAACTATAAGAACATACTTCTGCTGACTGCTAAAACCAATCAATCAAACTTCATCTAACCAATGACGTTCTTCATTGTTCAAAACTGAAACAGCATGCTGTACATGCGATTCAGCAGTAACAAGCTGCTCTTCCTTTAGCAAACAAAATATCTGGCATTTCTGGGCAATCGACGGATGTTCATGAGAACAGTCTTGTTAGTTGAGTCTAAAAGGCTAGACTTTCCTCAAGTATGTGCTGAATCAGAGAACAAGGCCACAGTTTCTGTCTGCCTGGCCGCTTTTATTAATAAAAAAGGAGGCCCAGGAGACTTATGTGATATCAGTCGCTGACGGAGACACTCGATAGAACTGGAAAAGCAATTCTAGAGTCTGCAAGTGCTCAAAAACACTTAAGAATTAACTGAAAGATTAGCAGGCCGACTACACTGGGAAAGACTGGGTTTATATTAGATTTCTATTGATTCCACATCAGCACAATCCTTCGCACGTCTGGAAAACATTGAAACCTACAGCCCCCATTGGGAGAATTGGGCTTCCTGGGATCTGTGTGTAACCATGGAGCTCTTTGATTACTAAAATGTGGTGAATGGGACTCTCTTGACCTGTTTATCCAAATACAATTCGGAGAAACCGTACTGTGTCATAGAGTACAGATCATTCCATTTGCCTAGACGTAGCTTTTCTGCCTTGCTTTTAAGGAGAGTTCCAGGTTCAATACAAATTAAACTATCACTATGTTGTCATGACAACAAAGCTGAAAGACTAGATATTCATTTAGATACTTTAGTGTGATTCTTTTATACTAGTTTCAAGTTGAAATGTATTATGTTAAGTTTTGTGGCTATACTGTAAATATAGTGTGTATTAATGTTTTACTGCCTGAACCTGTGAACTGCTATTGTACGTGACTTTTAAAAACCACAATTAAAAAAAAAAAAAAAACACCTGAGGGGAAGTATTGAAACTATTTTCTGTGGTGATCAACATCACAATGCCATAGGCTAGATGCTGGAGATAGAGCTTAACTTATATTGAACATGTAATATTCCTTCACACTACCATTCAAAAGTTTGGAGTCAATAAGATTAGGCTAAGTAATTAATACTTCTATTCAGCAAGGATGCATTCAATTGATCCAAAGTGAATGTTGCTTGTTTGAATTTTCTATTCATCAAAGAATCCTGAAAAACAGCACAACCATTTTCACCATTTTTATGAAGCAGCACAACCATTTTCCACATTGATAATAATAATAAATGGTTCTTGCGCACCAAATCAGCATATTAGAATGAAGTGACACTGAAGACTGGAGTGATGATGCTGAAAATTCAGCTTTGCATAACAGGAATAACTTTTTAAAATATATTCAAATAGAAAACAGTTATTTTAAATTGTAATAAAATGTCACAATGTTACTGTTTTTACTGTTTATTCAAATAAAAAATGCCTTGGTAAGCGTAAGAGATTTCTTTAAAACACACACACACAAAATTACACTAAACATTTGAACATAGAATACATAGCATAAACAGCTGCAACAACATACAATACAAGTGCAGATATTTTATGTCATTCCATAGGCCACTGCTGACTGGAGGGCAAAGTACAGTGAGAGCTGCTAGAGGCTTTTAAAATATTCAGTTCTGATATGCAGAATCTGAAAGTGAATAAAAATTAACTTCAAAATAAAGCACATACCACATACCATGCACATACCAAAAAAAAAGATTATGAGTATAATTAGATTATGAGTGATACTGTGGTGCAATCTTTCCTAAATGATCAATCCACCAAGAATTCTAATCAGTCAACTCATTACTGATCTCGACAGAAAACATCTACCAGAAAGAAGCTAAAACTGCATTCTCTGTAATGGGATACAGATGAACCCTCTTGGATTTCTTCTGGCAGTGGTTTCGTCTCCATAATCGCTAGTGGACACTTTCACTGTTTTGACAACTGCATTTCGAGAAATATGCAAGCCTGAAATTTGGATCAACAATAAAAACTTTAACTGCCATTACTATTAATATTATTTTCTATATTCCAGTTTTCATGTGTGGTTCATTAAGGTGGCAAATACCTTGAGAGTACTGAGGAAATTAAAAACATTGGCAAGGTTATTAGATTTTAGATCTGGCCAGTGAAACAAGATTTCCACAAGCAATTCCAAAAGGAGCAAAAGTGCAGCATACAGAAACCTTTAGATCAGTTCTCAACTGGTGAGTCACGGACAATGCTAAATGCAAATAATAAAACACAACTATTATGCATAGTTACTATAGCAAATAAATAAGCGTGTATTTCATGTTAATATAAAAAAAAATCTCAAATGTTAAGGATTTTTTGTTAACTTTTATGCAATAATCTATGTTAGTACTTGATGTCTAATACAAGTCCTGAAGTAAAACCAATTGAGAACCACTGCTTTAAATGAATAATAGAGGAAGGCCAGGAATGACAGACAACCAAATACAAAACACACCCTTGGAATTCCAAAGCTTCTAGACGCAAGAACAACAATCTAGGACTGTGGAGTCTGGGAAACACACACAAAAAAAGTGTATTTCTAATAACAATATGCAAGGCAAAATCTTATGTTTACTAACAGCCTACTCCGTCTTTGTCTTTGATTCTGTCGTTTTAACAGGCTATGGTTTCCTTCAACTCAGATACACTAACAACAAATGACATAGATAGATAGTCAAGTCCTGTAATCTGATGAGATAACTGCTTTGAATTTGACAACTTTGAAGAGGAAAGGCTCAGGTTAAATGTGAACACCTTCTATATCAGGCCACAGAGTGATTAGAATAACAGCAGAAGTTCAAACCGGACTATTGATATAAACATACTGCTGAGGTGAGTTCAGCTCAACATCAAATACATGTTTGTTTGTCCCAAAGACACCTGTCACCCAGTAGTGTATAATTCAAACAGTTTTGTTTAACTAGTTTATTTAGTCTAAGTATAAAACCATCTTTCTTTCAAGATCAGAACAGAGACAAAATAAGGTAAATGACTAAAGAAAAAAGAAGACAAAACAAAAATACATAAAAGTCCACATAAATAATTGAACAACTAAACATGAAATAAAAAAGTAGTAAATATATAAATATAAAAAAAGGAAATAAAAATATTGCAACTAAAATAAAAATGTCACTGATTGCAAGCTGATCGATATGTTTTGGAACATGATAGTTTTCTAGTTGGTCTGAAACCACCAGCTTGTCATACCATCTTAAGGAGGTCAAGCTAATTTTTGGAACATGGTAGTTGGTAGACTAGACAATAACTGCATTTACATTCAGTACAATGTTATTATTATTAAAAAATATTATATGTAGTGTGACTATTGTGACGAAATGCCATATTTTGACTATTTACTGCCGTAAGAAGACTAAACAATATACTGACTTCTAGAAATATATACATAGAATTTTTCAGAATTTGATTTAAAATAAAAATAATAATAATAATAATAATAATGGTTATAAGTGAACAAAATCAATATACCGACGAGCCAAAGTATCTTCGTTTATTTAGAAACACACTGTAAATACAATAATACTTGCTTAAGCATCTTCACTTTTTTTTTTTACCCCCAATCATAAAAAAGTGTTTACGTAAATATGACTTGCGGTATCCAGTTAAAGACCAGCCCGGATCAACTAGAAACCAGCTCCCATGTTCCACACAGTTATGTGTGGATCTACCAGCAGGGTTTAACATCTAGCTGCAGTTAAGAAGTTATAATGACTCAAATAAAACATCTAAAACATGATCTGCACCCAAAGCAAAAATCCTCGACACCAGGTGAACCGGTGTCCATTAGCCTACGTTACAATGACTTCACAGCAATTCTAGTAGAAATTCAAGGCTCTCTTACCTCGAACGCTGCAGTGCTCAAAGCGTGCTTCCCTCGTTCACTCTCATTCCCTTTAAACGCTCACAAAACACCATCCAACATTGTCTGCTCGGGACTGTTAGGCTGGTTACCGCAAACACGCACGCCGAGCTGTCCTTCTATTCCACTAGTTGCACAATGAACGCCGCGAGACAAACTACTTTGTTAGTGTTGCGCTACGGCGTTTGACTGGAGCAAAAACGTTCTAAAATATATCAAAACAAACCGCTTGTTTACAGTTTTGAAACTTTTATTCCGCGCTGCGGATTTTAGACGAATGTAAAACGGTCTCAGAATGGAGAGACACAAATCACTTGTTACACTGTAGCAACTTCTATTCTTCTAGTCCGCGTGTCTCATAGGGCGGGACCAGCAGTGAGGTGTCTCTCTTCCAAATCCTGACCCTGTATGTCGCATGCTTGACTGTTTATTCATTCAACGAGCTTGAATAGAACATTTGTTCAAAGTCATTTCTCGCTCTTGAAGGAGGTGTTAACGTGCATGGATACTGATTTTGGAGTGTTATTCAAATTATATGACTATAGTTTTAGGCTGTAGTGTAGGTCCAGTGTCATTTAAATGCTTTTATTTGTTTGATTAAAGGATATTTATAAGCGATGACTGTCTAAGAAGCCATGCAGCCAATAAGATTTTTGTCTTATGTTTCATATTGAAACATATCCAATGCCCAATGTAAAGTTATAAAATGAATAAGTCTGACCTCGTGTGGACAGTCAAAATATTACAACTGGGGTCGTTTCTAAATCTATACAAGGTATTTATTATATTTCTTTTTTCCTATCTATCTATCTATCTATCTATCTATCTATCTATCTATCTATCTATCTATCGATCTATCTATCTATCTATCTATCTATCTATCTATCTGTCTGTCTGTCTGTCTAAATTATGTGTCTATACATGTGAAATAGATATAAATCTGTTTTAAAGGAGTCTTGTGTTTTTTTAATCTTACTTTTATTGCTTCGTATGAGTACTTTTTTTTTTTGTTTTGTTATTTGTATTTTTGTGTGAAACACTATGTGCTGCCGTCTTAAGCAGGTCTCCCTGGAAGAAGAGATTGTGATGTCTCAATGGGATTCTCCTGGCTAAATAAAGGATAGATAAATAAATGAATGAAGGTAAGATGAAATAAACATTCTGTATACCAAAACCACCTACTGTAATTTCGGTGTATGGGCATTCTTTTTAGTTATATAGATCCACTAATTCCCCTCTCTATCTTTGCACTTATTTTCTCTCAGTGCTGCAGCCAAGATGAAAGATGGAGAAAAGGCCCAAGAGTCTCCTCTGGTTTCACTGCTATCGCGTGTCTGTTGTCTATCAAGGGCTGTGCTGCTTATTTTTGGGTTTTGAATGAATCGAGACTCATTCTCTCTCTCTCTCTCTCCCGGGTTTGTCTTGGGTTAAATAAATAAGAGCGCACGAGGAACGCTGGCTCCGGTTCCTGTCATGCTGGGCTGCTCCAGAAGACCACACTGATCTCGGCAACTCATGCCCAGCACAGACTCACAATATGACTTGTTTGTAAACTTCTGGTGTTGCCAAGAACAAAACTATATATTTTTAGAATTTATATATTTCCTGTATAATAGCTTAAATAATTATTTATAATAACATTATTTAAGACAAAGTCATTTTTGAGATGCTTTAATAAATGTAAATGGTGGATATAATATGGCAGTTCGCTAAGTAAGGCAATGTTCATGAATTCCACAAGACATGCTTGATTCTGATTGGTCAATTATAGCGTTCAGAAGTCAGATATTTCTTAATATTTTCTTCAAGAAAAAAATCATTAAAAATAATTTCAACTCAAATAGCTAATGCCCACGTGTTAATTTATTTGGTGAGCAGCCATGTAAAATGAATGGGTGAATTTTATTTTTTTCATCCATTGAAACCATTAACAGTGCAACATTTGAGCTTACCCAGTTCAACAGGGCAGTGGGAGAACAAATGATTCTCCCAAAAAGGAAATAGGATTCTGTAGATATGGTTAGAGTTATGTAAAAATTAATTTGTTTAGCAGAAAAAAGTGTTAAAAATTCTCATCTTGTTGTCTCAGAATTATGCTGACGTAAGATTTAAGCCATAATGTTAAACAGGATGAGAAAACTTATAAATTATTCATAGTTGTTCTCCATTGTTCTAATTTCCATGGCTTTGAACACTATTTCAGATTTCTCGCGTGGATTCATTTTAATAACGTTTGGGAGATCTGTCCCAAAATGTGTTAAAAAAAAGATTATTATTATGCGCGACCAGTAGAGGGCGCCTTATTTATTTATTATATATATATTCCCCAAAATACATGGTACTTTTTTTGAAGAGTGTAAGTACTGTTATAACACTGGTTTGCCTTCCAAAACAATGTACATTTTATAGTGATCATAACAAAGCAAAAACACAGTTATATAGGTTTTTTTCTAAAGACACATACATATTCAAATATGTTTATTCATTTATTGATCATGATTTTTTTTTTTTTACAGAAAAGTGTGCAGACTGTTGCTACAAAGAGCATCATAATCTACATCTCTTGTTGCATGCTTTCATTTTGAATGACAAATGCCAGGCAAAGCTTGTGTACTGTTACATCAATATTGTTGAATTATTTAGCTGCTAGCAGCAGCCTACGCTTTCACCATTCAGAAAAGATTTTACTCAGACAAGTGTGATTTACCCTTTAAATGATCATTTAAAAGATCTGCCTCCAGAGCTGCTGCAGCGGCGATGACAGAAGATCAATCCAGTCCCCAGGGGGAATCAATCATTACATATGCATTTGTTAATATGTGCATGTAGGCTGTTATTTAGTGTGTTTTCACATCATGAATAAAGCAAAAAAAATAACCAGTTTGAGTTATTAATGCTGTAAAGGAGGGTCCTTGGATCTGGGTCTGTAATGTGTGTGTATGTGGCTGTATGTGTGTATCATTGCAGAGGCTGACCAGATGCATGTGCACTGCTGTAAGCATGGGGAAAGGCCTCTGTCTGATTAGCATTCAGTCCTTGCACAGACTGCATCAAGGAAATCCATGGCCAGCCCCCCTCCTCTCTCCTTCACTTTCTCACTCTCTCCCCCCTCTTTCTGCATCATTCTGTTGGACCAGAACCCCTCAGTACAAAACAAAAGGAACACCTTGTGAGATAAAGATTTCGGCAACAGGTAATTTTTTTGTTTGTTTTCATTTTTTATGAAATGCCAGAGCAAATTACTAGTGCAAAGAGATTCGGTCAACTAAAGGGAAAAAAGTGCTTGAAGGAATTTTAGATGTAAAGATATTTTGAGTCTCATTTGAAGAATATTTAAATAATAGTGGTTAAAGAATTTTTTTGGGGGCATCCTAGTTAATGTGCTTTTTTTATGGGTTGGACACACCTGTGGCATGACGTCAGGGATAGATTGTTGCACAAGGGTTATTTTTTGAATGCATTTGATTATATACAAACTGTGTGTGTTTGTTTTATAAAGATAATTTTTTTATGTTTTTGAATTTTTAAAAAGTCTCTTATGCTCACCAAATCTGCATTTATTTGATCAAAAATAGAGTAAAAAATTTAATATTGTGAAATATTATTATAATTTAAAATACCTGTTCTTTATTTTAATATATTTTTAAATATAATTTATTCCTGTGATGCAAAGCTGAATTTTCAGCACCATTACACGGGTCTTCAGTGTCACATGATCCTTCAGAAACTATTCTAATATGCTGATTTGCTCCTCAAGAAACGTTCATTATTATTATGAATGTTAAAAACAGTTCTGCTGCTTAATATTTTTGTGAAAACTGTGATACATTTTGTTTTTCAAACAGTATTTGTCTGAAATAAAAATCTTTTGTAACATTATAAATGTCTTTGCAGTTACTTTTACTGAATAAAAGTATAATTTTTTTCTAAAACTTTTAATATGTATATAGTGTAAAGTGCACTTTTTTTTATTACATAAAAAAATCTGTTTTATACTAAAATCTTATAAATTTAAAATTCAGTTTAATTTCCCTCAGGCATTATTTATAAAGAAATATATGGGTTTCACAGAATTATAAATTAGGATAATATTAATATTTCTGATTAGTAATCTCTCTTTGGTTTATAATGTCTGTATGATTATCTAAAATACTTTATTTTTATAATTTATTGCACTGACATAATTTTTTTTGCCTTTGTGTCAGATGTATTATTGTATAATGCCATTGGAAGGCAGCTAAATAAAGACTGTTCAAGTCTGATTGATGAGCCCGTGTGTTGTATGTGACCCCCCAAGTCAGTCCAGATGTGGACCAGGTAAGTCCAGATCTGTTTCATACATCATCAACACCTTTCCAATCTGAGTCACAGTCACTCAGCCAGGCAATCGCTCAAAGAGATGAGCTTGACCTTTCTGTAAGGGGCTCCAACTGAGACACCAAATGCAGAAGTGATACAAGACTTGAGAGTTTGCTAAATGTCAGATCTCTCATTAGTAGAATTTACCAGACTTGAGCAGGTTCAATCCCACTAAGTGATGTCTATAATTACCAAGACTGATGATTAAATCCCTGGTGAATGTGAACAAACAGCGGAAACCATTAGCTGCAACCATGCTAAAACCGAGTTTTAGACAAAGTGCACTGGACATATGGTCAACATAATGACTGTATTGTGAAAAAAAGTCATGTGGGCGTGCATGGAGATGTTGTTTTGACTATAAGTAGCATTCATGGAAACAGATTTTAAGCAAAGCAAGCTGGATGTAAATTTTGTTTCACTGGATTAACGCAAGTCATTTATCTCACAATGCTGAATGCACACTGAAGTATACGATAATTGGACATCCAGAATGATGTGCTTATCTGCTGCTTGCTTGAAGAGAGCAAAGGCGGCCGAGATATCACCTCTGTGGTTTGTTTATTCAGCAGCCCTGCCTCTATTCAGTTGTTTGAAAAGATAATCCACCCCCACATGCAGACCGGGTGCACCTGGCCTCTCTGTGGGTTGCCAGGTACTATTTGTGTTTTCAATAAATTCTGCTGTTAAAGGGTAACAGGCTTGGTGATATTTATAGCAGTATAAAGTATTTTTCAACAGAAAGATATTATGTAAGTCACACCTTATGAAATAGTTAGTCAAACGTGTGTATTGTCATATTGAAACAGAATTTTTTTTCTATCTGTTTTGAATTAGCAAATAGCCTTTAGAAAACAGTTTTGGTGACAGCTTAGCAAAACTATGATTTGCTTGTCTTTGACAAGTCGTATTATAGGAAGAGGGGATATGTTCAATCAGGAGCTTTTATTGTATAAAAATTTGGATATGCCACTGTAAACAAGATATTTTT